CCTAATAATTCTGCACTCCCTGTATATACTTTTAGATGATCCACATCCACAACTAGGTTTTGTTGTCCAAGTCACATGTTAAATTCCTTATTTAATAAGAAATGCAGAAAGCAGAAATGATAATCTATGATGTAAGCATTAATGAACTGTATAGTATGATCAATACAGAAAGCAATAAACAGAATGTTCATTTCACTTTTGGTTTGGTGGTGAAATAAGGATTTTATTCATGACAGACAACACTTGGAAATTTAGATTTCTGACCTCATAACTGGAGATAATGACTATTATCAAAACCATACACACTAACCCCAGAGGCAATGATCTCACTGAATCCTCAGTTTCCCCACATTTAGTTCTGTGTATTGCTGCGACAGATGTACTTCATCAGGATATTTGTATGTCCCCACTCAGTAGTACAAGCCTTCCTGAACATTTTCCTTAGTGGTTATCTCTGGGAGGATGTGCAAGTTATGAGTATAATGTACTGATAAACAGTGGCACTGTTGTTTAAAGGGAGGCTTCTGTAGACACAAGAATAGTCAGAGGTGAAAAAGTATTATTTAGCTCTTGAAGACAAAAATGAATACCTTCCACATTGGATGCAGTATGCAGGGCAGTATTACAGTGGCATCTGGTTTTAAGTCTATTCTTTTAGATTCTGTTCACATTGGCCAGTTTCTCTCTAGTTGTAACACCATCTTTCATGACCATCAGATTTCACTGTTGAATTAGAACAATAAATCTGCCCAAACCAGACTATTTGCAACATTCCTCCAAGTACAGTAATACAATGTTAAGACTAAATACAGACTACAACCACCTTGTTCTTGTTCAAGTACTTCTTTTAGCTGGTCCATTTTAGAATCACTACTTTGGATGTTTCAGATTTCCTACAGTACATTTAATGCAGCAATTTCAACTGAAGGGCTCTGCTCTGCACTGGTTTAAAGCATTCTCACTGGTCAGTCCCGCCTGATACAATAAATCCCGTTCTATGATTGGTTGTCGCATCAGTTCAATCAAACCGGGGGCAGCTAACCAGCGACCAGCCTCTGCGTTGCTAAGGTAAAGTTCCACAGCTGCGTCAAGCTCAGTCGAGTTTCCTTCAAAGTAAAAGCACAATACTGCTCTTTTTTTCTTCTTGTTTGAAAATACACACACACACATAGAAGTATGATCCTTGAGCGATGTACAGTGTATATGTGTGTATATGTGTGTATATGTGTGTATATATATATATATATATATATATATATAATAGTAATTTGGTATGGCTTCGCCGGCCAAATGTAATTAGGCTGTGGGCCAAATTTGGCCCGCGGGCCAGAGTTTGACACCTGTGTTCTAAACTGTTATCTGTATATTATGTGAATATAAACCCTATTAATTTGTGTCTT